GTTACAGAAGGTTGCAGCTCTTGTGCTCAAATGGGTCAATAATCTTTGATTCCAGGCACTTTCCTTAATCTTTACTAAGGTATTTCTGTAACAGAGCACAGTGTTTTAAGGAAGCTCTTTAGTGCTTTTGAGTAATGGCCTTCTGCTTTCAAAGGTCCACAAATTTTACATGCTGGCTCTAAAAAAGAGGCAAATTTGTTATGTGAATTAGGGAATAGAATACTTATTTTGAAAATCATTCCAACAAGTGTTAAGGGCTCTGCTGCAATGCATAAAGTCCATAATCTTAAGGTCAAAACACTATTTTTGCCTAGTTCTGTCTTCCTAAATGTGTTGCAATCAGTGTTGGCTTTTGTTGGAGAAAGCGTGGCACTGTGAGTTACTGATGCAGCCTGGTGCTGGTAATCTCCAGCAAGTGAAGTACAGCTTTTCAACATGTAAATAATTTCCCAAGATTGGTCCACTTAGGGGTAAAGCATTTTTATTTAATGTGTTTTGATGCAATCAGAAGCATGTGGTGCTAAGAGAGAATAGTAATTTTCTTTACAGGGATTTAGTTTCAAGAAGTTAAGACTGTCTATTTGTCCAGCTTTTCTTGTTGGCTTCCACTTGCTAAGTGTTTTCAGTTGCACCATGCAGTTCTTTTGGGGGAGCAAATAAGGCATCTTAATGTTTTCTATTGTGTTACTCCATGTTTTCTCATCTCCTTAGCATTGCCTGCTTGCTTAATAAAAAAACAAATTAAAGTGGAACACACTTGAGAACTGCTAATAAATGAAGGGAATTATCAGAGAAAGGCTAAAAGAAAATTAGAAGGAGGAGTATTTTGGCTGGAAATATAATCTGTGCCTCCTGCAGTGCTGGCTATCAGTGTTCCTGGTGAGTTTGTCTGATTTTGAGCCCTTGAGCTGCTGCAGGAAGCTCCACACAGCTGCTGACTTATAACAAAAGTAGTTAGGAGTTTGTGTTATTTTTTAAGTATGTGGGGGAAAAAAAAAAGCACAACAGTTCCTCTTGAACTCACAATATAGTGGTTTTCCACTTCTGGCAGCTTCTAGTTATTTTAAACTTTGTGAAAGATGTGGGGCATTTTATTAAAGTAAACAAAGCTCTCTGAAATGAGTGCTCTAAAAGAAAAACATTCCTATTTTTCTAAAACCCTAAACTTCAATGAGGACACAGAAGTGTGTATTCTTTATGGGCACTCTGGCCTCAGCTTGACCTCAGCTAGCCCTATTTCTTAGTAATACACGTCCTGCTGAATTGGGCTTTTATGAGTTTTAGCTTAAGATATTAAATACAGAACATTTGGTTTCCCAGGAACTATATAAATTTCAAATGAACAGGTGTTTTGAATACGTACCTTACTGGGGAGAGTCCTTACAGCTAACTCGTCTCCCAAGTGAAAGCTGTTCAGTTTATTCTGTCTTGTCTCTGGAGAAAGTAAGAAAGGCCTTGTTTCCTAGAATTAGCTTTGGAGTTGATATTGAAGTAGGAAGTTGAGCTTAATGGAGTCTATCTACTCAAACAGTTCTTTTAAGAGAAAAAAAACCCCAAAACTATGTGTAAAATGCTAACTTTTTTGGGGGGAAAGAATTAATTTCAAAAACTTTCTATTACTGAAAATTCCTTCCCCTTTTTCTGATTTTAAAATGTTTTTTTTTTAGACATTTTAAAAATGGAAGAAAAAATTCATTCAATTTGGAATAGCTCAAATTTCTGAAGGAAAACTTGAAGAAAAAAACAAGTAAAACATAGCTGGAATGTTTCATTTGACCTAGTCTGAAATACTTAGGGGTTTTTGATATCTTGAGCTTGGATTGACAAAACATTTCAGAAACTGTATAGGACATGGCAAGGCAATCTCTGCCAGCTCTGGGCATTGAATCCTACCCAGGGGATTCCTTCCTGGTTGAGTGCAGTAAGGAAATAGCAGCTTGTGTTTCAAAAGACTCCTGAGCCCAGCTGAAATCCTTCATGTTTCAGCAGGGCTGACACGCTGACAGTGTGGGTATGGAATGGGATTCTGCTGCTGCTGGAGCTGAGAGGGTGCCCATAGTGTGAAAGGACCACTCCAATAGCCACCCATGTACCCAGCACATGGACAAGGCCAGTCCATGTTTGGTTTTAGAAGTAAAAAATAATATAATTAATAAAAAATGTGATAGGAGGAAAAAAAGTTAACAGTCAAGCGGTTACCGGAAGACTTGTGTCTTTACCTGTATTTATGGGCACATTGTTTTGTTCCAGCTCTGCTGCCTGTATCCTATGTAAAAAGAGCCCTGAAAATAAAGTAGGATTTCTTGTAAGAACAGACAGGTCTTGGAAAATCCCAGCTCTACAGAGATTGGGCAACTGAAAGGCATTTTAAAAGATTTTATTCCATTATCAGTCTCGTAGAAGACATAAAAGTCTCTTGTAGACATGTAGAGATGTAAAACTCAATGCCATTCCATCAGAAGCCAACCTGTTTCCTGGTTACAATACCTTATAAATGTTTTTCAGCCTATTAGCTTTTGCCACACAATGCTGCTAATACTCCTAATACCAATCACCTATTATTTTACCCCACGTGGTCTTGCTACAATGCATCTTTCACAGTTCTAATTCTCCGAAATGTCTCCGAAAAGTTTTGCAACTTTTGAAACTTGTTTCTAGTTCAATCTCTCTGTCTCTCAGCAAAGTCACCTCTATTCCATGGGCTTCCTAAGTCAGCACACCTTATCTCAGAGTTTGCAAACACATGTACAGGACTGTGTGAGCTTTCAGTCAGGTTTTGAGAATCCTTTACAAATCCATTTCTCACATCAGGCAGAATGGATTAATGGATTTATGACAGGATGCACTTGCAAGTGCCACGAGCCCCAAACCCAGCTGAGAAGTGCGGTGGCTGCTCCAAGCCATGAGACTGGCCCTGTGTTCCCAGACTCCTTGTGAATTGCATAAATGGAGGGTGACATACTTGCTGAGTATAATGGTGTAAACTTTGTGACTAGAAATTATTTACAGACCTGTTTTGGAGAGAAGATTTGAGACTGGCATTTACAGCCTCTCAGGGAGCACCCACTGTCTGTTTTGGACCTCTACCCCAGCTTGAAATTCTCTTTTATGGCATCCCTCTGCCCATCCAAACATTCTATTTAGAATTTTATTATCTGCATGTAGTAAGATATCTGTGCCTGAATAGTTATCAGCAGAACCTACCTTTACTCTTGTGCAAATGGACAAGGGACATAGAGGCTTTGCCACTATTTTCTTTGTTTCTTTATTGGATACAAATGTCAGAGCTTGGGATTTTTTTTAGGGATTCCAGGGACTGAGGCTCTTAAGGATTGGAGAGCTATCATACTGTAGTCTATTTGGACAATTTTCCTGCTGTCACACCTCTTGGCTGACATGACTGTGGCACTGGTGGGACCCATGTCCCATAAGCATCAATGACCTTTAAATGAAATTGGTATTTCTTACCGAATGCATGATAATAGGCAAATGTCACTTGAGTTTGCTGCTCTTAAGAGTTGATCAAGGATGAGGGAGAGGGAATATGCAATGAAGGGAAGACAGAGAGGGTCATTCAATGAAGGGGGCAAGGCTGGATGTGGATGTGCTGGTGCCAGCCATGCTGTGTTCTGGGGGTGATAATGTGACTGCTGGCGATTCCTGTTTCACAGTGGAAACACTTTTGCCTGGCTGATTGTGGTATCACATTGTCTCTGGCATGGGGCATTGCTTATTTGAATTAGTAATCAGCAGGTTACTAGTTTTTCCACAAAGCAGGATGCATGCTAAGAGGAATTTTATGGCAGGTGTAGTTGCTTCAGCAGTTCCCAGCCTGGGAGAGACACTCTGCTTTTGTGTGCATTGGCTTTGGTTAAGCAGAAAATCAAGTGATGATGTTTCAGATGTAGCTTGGATGTGCTGTGAGTGGTGGTGTATGGCAAGCACATTTCTCTCTTTCTCAGGATTTTTCATAGAGGTGCACGGAGAGAAATGAAAGAGAAAACAATTTCTATTTCTGCTCCTTGTTTTTCCCATGTGGAATGTGTTTGGAGAATTGTTTACCTGGAGTGAGTGCTTGATTGGATTCTGGTGAGGTTTGTTTGAGCCTGAGGGCCAATCCAACCCACCTGTGGCTGCGCTCTCAGAGAGGGTCACAAGTTGTGTTAGAGATACAGAGTTAGAGAAAGTACTATGTAGTTTTAGTATCTTCCTTTTTATATTAATTATTATTATTAATTTATATTAATTAGTATATTAATGTATTTTAGCATAGTTATAATAAAGAAATCATTCAGCCTTCTGAATTGAGTCAGACATCGTCATTTCTTCCCATTGGGTTCACCTGCATTTTCAATAGTGGTGGGCATTTCTAGGAGCTCTCAAGGTGCAGACCCTCAAACAGGCCTGGAGGAAATGATTGCAGGGGATGTCTGGAAAATCTGCAAAAAAGCAAGCAAAAATCTTCCTGTTTTCAACTATTGAAAGAGTGCTTTGCTTAATTTCCCTTCACCCTGTGACAATTAAGTTGTGCATTCCAGATTGCCAATGGAGATAAGTGGTTTAGAGGTGACTTAAGAAATAACAGGTTTAAAGCCTCTGGGAGATTGTGCTTAGCAGTTGTATTGTGTATAGGAAGTGCATGTATTACAGGAATATGTGTTAAATGGGCTTCTCAGTGTCATCCTGAGCAAAGCTCGTATCATCCTGTGGTTCTTTCCAAAACAGTCCTAGTAAAACTTCCAGAATGTGCTATAGGATGGGGTCAGTACTGCAACAGTACTGCTTGGTTGTAATACTCTAAAATAGAGAAAAGGAAAAAGCAGAAATCCAAAGTATGGTACAAAAATTTCTTTAAAAAGGTGGGGAACATTGGCTAACCTGTACTGCATCCCCTGTCATGCTTGCTCCCAGGTGGAGGTCTTCAGACAATGTTTTTGTGCCATTTGTCTTTATCTTGGAGGCTTCTGGTGGCACATAAGTGGTGACATTGGAGCTGTGTCTTTGAGGATGTGTTCTAGCAAATGTGTTCTGCGTGCCCTCCTCACTTAATATGGTGCTTTGGGCTTCTAATCTCAAGGACATCCATATCAGTGCAAAAATCTTGAGCTTAAGCTCAGTTTCCAGGGTACTGCACATCTTGCTCTTGACTCCTCAAAGTTAACTTCAGTGCACTTAGGATTAGAAATAACATAGAGAGCCAGCTGATTACAGAAACCCATGTACTAGCCATAGGCTAATGTGGCTTCCCCCTGCAGTCCCAGAGCAGCCATGCATCCTGGACCTTTGCTATTCTCTTGCCATCCTTTTCACTGGCACACGCTGGGAAAAGGCTGCACTTGGTTACTACAGGATTATAGAGCTACACACTGTTGTTACATCATGGCTGTGCTGGGAGTGTATGTTCAACATTATCATTAGGTACAGGAGCTGAGAGTCCTGGGTTTTGGTTCTGTCTCAGACAGTAACCTGCTTTGATACCCACAGAAAGTCTCTCAGTCTACAATCCTGTCAAAGGGGATTTTTACTTTTTCAAGAGAATCATCTGAAGTTTTATTGACACCCTTAAATTTTATAATATCACATGGATGAAAAGAATAAACATAAACTCATCCCCAGCCAGAAAAAAGTTATATATTTTATTGTGTCTTAGTTTGTATTTCCATCACTGGTATATCTCTGATATACCAAGTTGACTCTTGGGTTATAGGATGTATTGGGGAAATTTTCAATCTGCCTGGAAAGCAAAATCTTCAGAATAAACAGAACTGGCGTGTCAAAAAACAATACTCAAGCAAGAGGATGGACCCAACCCCAAACCAGTTCTTTCTTTCTTACCCTGTCTCATATGCTCATGTCCTTAATTTCTCACTGGCATAAGACTTGCCCCAGCCCCATCAGTAAGGCAAAAGGCTCCCGTGCTGTCCTTTGGAAGATGGTTGTTCCATCTGCCTTGTCTGTTCACCTCCACCCTGTGCATGGGCTACAGCTGTATTACAACCCTGGATGCTGTACGGAAAGGAAACACACGTTTAATTTTGGACAAGAGAGCCTGGAAGCCAAAGCAACAAGCTTAGCAGAGAGCAGCATATGCTGCTTTCTTCTGTGTGTCCTAGAGCTCTGGGAGGAGGGGCTCAACAGCAGCACTGAGATAATGCCCTCACTGAGGGCTGCTGAGTTGAAGTGTGTCCCTGGAGTGGGGCAGCACAGACCTGAAGCCAGTCTGTGTGTGTGCTCTGCCAGGCTTGTCCAGTTGTGCAGCATCCTTAAATCCATGCTTAGCAGAGCTGAAGGGGCTGTGGCCAGCTGTCAGTCTCATTGTGACGCTTTGTCCTGACACTTCATCCCAGCTCCTCAGGTCCTCTTCTTCTGTGCTCTCCTCCCTGCCTTTTCCTCCCTCTGAATTACTGTGATGACTGAGGGAAAGACTCTTATACTTGTTGGTTTACACTGGCTTGGCTGTCAAGGTGTTTGTAAGGAGATGAAAGGCAGTGGCTGATTTTCTCTGTTGATTGTGTCTGTCGCTCATGAGTGAAAGCCCTTTGCAATCTTGGCACGTCCTGGCTTTATTCGTTGCATGAGCTCTGCCTGGGAACAGCCTGATTGCAACACAGGATTTGCATCCATGAGCTAACTCAGGGCTAGGAGTCTTTTAGGAAGTGCTGTTAGTCCAAAGACAGGTGAAAAGCAGAGCTTAATGATACAGTACCTGTATTTTGAAGTAGGTTATTGGTTTTTGTTGGGTTTTGTTGTTGTTTTTTTTTTTTTTTTTTTTCCTTTGCTGTTCACTTTAAGAAAAAAATTGTCGTAACTTCTTATAACTTCTTAGCAGTGTTTTTCATTCTCTTGGCTCTGAGAAGTAGGGGAAATGTAAAGTCTCAAATTTAAAAGTCTCCAGCTTCCAATGGGAGCTCCTTTTTGTGGTGCTGGACCAAAGTATGAAAATGTATCAAACATATCTTCTATGGTACTGAGGTGAGGATGGCATGTCCCTAATAGGTGGAAGATTTCTCAGTCCTGGATCTTAAATAAGTATTTTCTCTTGGATACCAGCTTGTAGGGTTGGTGGTTTCTGTTTCACTAAATGCCTATTAGACAGTCCCTGTCCAGAATCTCTAGTGAGCTTTTCCTCTCCAGCATGTGAAGTTATAGCTTGTGCCCATACAACTCTTTCATGGGTGTCTGAAATAGCTGGGGCCTCTTAAAGTAAATGCAAAGACTGTAGTACATTGCTGTCCAGCATCTTCATTAGCAGACAGCCTTTTTTTCTGGAGGTAAGATCCTTCAGTGGAGGAAGATGGCTGATCTGTGGCCAAGTGGGTGACAAGAGGAACTCAGGGACTCTCTCTGCTTTTCTGACAAACTGAGAAAAAAATCCAGGCCAGCAATCCATCTTGGAAGTCTCTTAAGCTATCATAAGAATTTATAGGAACTCATTATACAATAAATTATAGATATAAAATAGCAGGTGGTATATCTTTCAAGCAGCATGTATTAAAATTCAACTTGACAAGACCAGAAAAACAGCCCCCAGACCTATCTTCAGTAACTACAGGGGATGTAAGTTGTGGTTAAGAGAAGTGGAGGGTTAATGACAGCTCTGTGCCAGTAAACACAACAAAATGTCTCAGTGGTAATTGTCATCAGAACGATTTCCTTCCCTGCTAGATACAAAATCAGATAAACTATTAGAAACACCATTTGTAAAACCCAGACACCATATATTTTCATCCAATGTAGTTGTCTGTCTCTGAGGTTCCTGAAAAAAACCCTTGGGGTTCTAGCTGGGCTGCTGAATACAAGCTGTGAAAATATTGGCATGCTGATTTTATCCTTTGCTATCCTTGTCCTTCTCTGTTTCCATTCTTTAATCCTTACTTAGTGGCAGCCACTAATGCAGCCAAGTTACTTCTGCGTCAGGAGGATCAGGAAACTGTTTCCTCTCAGGCCAAATGTGCTGACACTGCTAACCTCGATTTCTATAAATGATTGAACAGTGTCTCCTGTCTGCTGTGTATTTCAGGCTTCACTTAGCCAAGATTCTTGGATGCTGAGACAGCTTTTCATTTTCCCTGGCTCTTCCTCAGAGTCATAACCAAGCCAGGCTTTGTTTCCTCTACCTTCATGGCTGTGAGCTGCTTAGACTGGCAGTATGGTTTTCCCCCTGAATAGACCTTTCACAATTTGCAGGGTTTAAAAATTTCTTTTAACTATTGAAAAAATTTGGTGTGGATGTTTTAGTGAAAATGAGTCACCAGATAAGAAATGGGAATTAAGAAGTATTGGGAGTAATCCAGTCATTTTAACACAGATGCAGTGCAACAGTTTTCGGAATAAATACATTTGTGATGGTACTATCAGCATTGCTTGTTCTTGAATTATTTAAAGCTCTTATAAATCAGCTTGGTCAAAAGGGAACATGCTAAACTGTCTTTCAGAGCCAACATGTTCCAGGAGTGAGAGAAGGACTGAGTTGTGTGCTGCCCAAAGCAAACTCAAACTGGTGGTGAAAAACTCGGTACAGGTTTTTCCTCAGTCAGTGTGGCTCTGGAGTCTTGATTCTCAAGTTGAGGCAACATCTACTGCAGTCCTTCCTGAATTTCAGGCCACATCTACAGCCACAGTAAGCTGCTGGCTTCTGCTGATGTTCAGTAATGTACAGCACCACAACCTGGCCTCTGCTCTGCCTCCTTTAGCTGAAGTGGTTTAAAGACATTTTCCCTCTGCATCAACCCTAGCTGCAGTTCAGATATATTTGACCTTCATTTCGTAGCACTTTGGAAACTGAATAATAATATATGTGTAGTGAATTCTGCCCTGCAGATAACCAGAATGTTTTTTTGCATCCCTTTGAAAAATGTCTGTTATTTTAAGCCTCTGCTGCCAATGGAAAAGCATAAGGGTACATGGAAAGTAGGAAGGAGGAGGAGAGTGTGGAGTGTAAAAGGAAGAAGCTGTGGGGAAAGGTTTGGTACTAATAGATTGGATCAATTTGCAGCATTGTTGGGCAAAGCACTAAATGCTGAAAAGTAATTTGTGGCAATTTAGGCTTTTATCATAGCGTATATGTTGCTCTTGAGGTGTATGTATAGCAAAAGGCAACCTCCCAGACTGAAGAGTTAATAACCTTAAATGTGCATTTCTGCAGGCAGATTGGCGAAGCTAATAGATACCTGCAAGGCAGAGTCAGGGCCTCAGGTGGATGGGCTGACCCATCAGGATAACAGCACAGCTCCTCTCTCAGGAGAACAAGTAGAGCAGCTTAGGAAAAGAATGTAATTATGTACTTATTCTTAGGAAAAGAATATCCTTACAATTTTCATTGCAGGTGACTCTGCAGAACAGGTGTGTTGTTGGGTAGGTCATACAGAAGTATTTGAACACACACAAACCTTCAAATGAGAAAGAAAATCAGCTCCTGAAGAAGACATATATTTTTAAAAATTAGTACAATGTATGAATTTATCAATCCTGTTGAAGAGTTCTGTAAGAGAAGTAGGAGTAACTTTAATGAAGAATAGTTACAAATACCTTGTGCATAGAAGAACCTGAGTCCTCTGTTGTGCATGTGTAGGTATATGCACATTGGGGTTTTTCTATCAGTTTTTGTAGGTAGAAGTCAAAGTGTTTACCAAAAGAAGAAAAAACAATCCCTACTGGATACAGCAGAGGAAGTAGCATGCTTGATCCACAGACAAATGGCAGAGGCAGAATGAGCAGGATTCCTTGGCTGTTTGATGCTAGGTCACAGTGCATCCAGCCCAGAGCTGTCCAGCCCTTTGTTAGTCTGCATCAACACTGATGTACTTCAGTGGAAGAAAATCTGCTGAATGCACTTACCAGGCTGTATTTCTGGATAAGACTTCAGGTTTTCTTCATTGTGATGAGCTTGCCTGTCCTGACATACATTTCCATATCCAAGATAGAAGATATTAATCACAGCTTCTCATTAGGAGTGAGAACCAGCTCGTCTGTTTTGTGCCCTGTCCCTAGTGCAAAGTGTCACTTGGAGCAGCCAAAGTGCCATCCTCTGCCATCCTGGCTCTAGGGCATCAATAAACCAGCATGTCCCTTTACCTGAGCACAGAGCTTTTCTAAAGACACCACCAGTTTTAAGTAATTCCTTACTAAGACAGGTTCTTCTGGATTTCTGTCTTAAACAACAGGGTTTGGGAGAAATACAAACAAAAAGAAACCCTTCCTAATACAGTCTGCATTGTGATTATTAGAAGATGCTTTCAGGAAGTGGAAAACCCCATTGATAAATGTGGTGCCACATTCTGACCAGGCACTTAAATACTAATTTCTTACTTTTTGTTTAAATGCCCTGAATGTGGAATTGTGGGCATCTCTCTGTGTGGGTGTCTCTTCTGTTCTCTAGCAGAAAAACCTTTGAATCAACTCATTTTCTTCCCTTCCCTCGTCCTCAGCATGAGGTGGAAATGGTGATAACATCCTGAATTCAGAAAATTTGTGGGACAGCAAAAATGCTGCCCACTTCTGTCATCTGTATTTTGATTGTCTGGTATTTTGGGTATTCTGCTGGAGGCTAAAATCACATTTATTGCAGTGGACCTTCAGCAGACTACTGGGACACGTGTTTAATGGTGGTAGACTAGATAATGAAAGTGCAAAGCCAAGTTTGTTTTTGGTAAAAATGCCATCTGACCATCTGGCATACAAGTAGCAGGTGTCTCCATCCTTCTGTTAATGTCCCTGTTGAGTGCCTCTGTCTCCTTGCCCCTCCCAAGAGGGGTGTTCCTCTGGTTCTGGCTGTGTGGCCTTATGTGGCAGTGGTGGCACATCAGAGGGCTGTTGGGACACCATGTGCTCAATCCTTGGCTGTCAAGAGCATTGATCTTTCTGCTGAGCCAGGGAAAATTTAATTAGCTTATTTTAACATTCATTTTTGTCCGGTGGGTTGGTGGAGTTGATGCTGGTTGGAGCCTCAGTTCCACATAGCTCATTTACTGTAACTAATTATTGCTTGCAGAGGAGTGGTGCACTCAGCTGACAGCCTCTGCAGTAAGGTGGAATTTATTAAATTTCAAATTTTTCATTTATTTGCTGTCAGAACCATATGAAACCTTCCTCCTTCAGGGCAGCAGAATCTTTCTGTTCTTGTTGGATGTTAACTGGGCAAACTGATGGAAAGCTGTAGTTAGTACAACCCCATGCCATTGATGTGGTACATACAAGGTGACTAATTCAGTGACAAAGGATGACAGTCCGGGAAATAAAAATAACCTGAACTGCTCTCTACCTTAAGGTTAGTTGCCTTTGTGAGTATGCATTATGATTTTCTCTGATTTCATACTTATATCTTACTTTTTGTCATTACCTTCTATCCTTCTTAATTTGGTTTAGTTTTGTGTTTCTTACTGCTCTAGCTCCTGGGAATACCTGCCCTGTTCTTGGTGAAGCTTTAAAACAGTGAACTCAAACAAAAGCATTCACTTGGGTCAGATACCCTATACAGGGAATTAATTTTGAAAAGCTAAAATCAGAAGTTACAGAAAAGTTTTGGCCATTAGAAGCTGCAGCCTTAAATATAGGTGATAGTACTAGCTGGCTTCATAATACTTGGGGATACTCAAGGACATGTGGTAAGGAGACCCCTTTCACCCTGATGGGAGACATTTGGGTGTCTGTCTGCTGCTTGCACCTGGAATGTTTTCCCCAGTGTCCTTTTGTCAAAGCTTTAGAGAAAGGAGAGAGGATGTATGATGGGGCATGCAGAGGCTGTTTCAGCAAGCTAACCA